CGATTGCAGCAGACTGATCTGACTGAATCTCGATATGTACATATGATACACCCGTGTTCTCTTCAAATTCTTCAAGTCAATCGAAAAAACATTGAGCCTATGACCGTTGGCAAATCTCCCAATTTACTGAGCATAGAGAACAACATGCCCGCCTTCATGATGTCTCAGCTACTACTTTACTTTTGCTGTGTCCTTCACCAGAGGCTTGGCCCAAGTCCCAACCCAGCATAATACTTCTACTCTTGTTTTTTTTTGGTGCCACTCCAGGGAACACGAGACCACCGTGCAGCAACATTGATGCCACATCTTTGCGATCTCTGTTGACTTTCAAGTCTGTTGACGTCTGCGAGATTGCTCAGGTGCAAGACTCTACAGTGACCTTGACGTGAGAACCCGAACCTTCTACTCCAGATAAGAACGATACTCCTCAACCATCTTGTACCAAGAAGCATATGATGCACAGTAAAATTTGGGTGAAAGGTGCGATTAAAGGATAGATATCTGAGGGTTGGACATGGGGCTGAACGGATCAGCTTCTACGTCGTAGCATAGTATCAATCGACAACAGAAATATGTAATATAAGTATACTTCATCTTAGCAGTATGTACTAGCAACGATAATAACATCGTATGGAAAGGCATCGCACGCGTAAACGCTATCAGATCTAAAGCTCGTCGGAGCGCCCAAAAGCACAAACAAAAAATATATACAAAACCGATGAACACCATTCTGCACCTTACTCTAAAACGCCTCAAATGCTCAGAATGTCGCACAAAGGGAGAACATATCATGCCCTCTTCTCTCTGAATTGGCCCGTTGGGCCTGCACTAAAAGCGCCACTGATAATGCGTTTCAGCTGTTTGGGTTTACTTTGTGGGGGTCTCTCGCCACTTGCGGTACTCTTGCGACTAAGCCCGGTACCTGTTCGGGTAATACCATCCATACTCATACTGATTCCCATATCCATAGCATTACTGCTACGTCGTGCGCGTCTCGTTGCATCTTCGTTCTCCTTCTGATGTAAAGTTTCCGACGGAAGCAAGATAGCACGATCCAGTGCGTACGGGAGTCCACGGTGGCGACCACGGATCTGCATGGCAATGATGATGAGTTTGCTCAGTGTCTTGAACTGGCCTGAGAAGGAGGTGTTGTAACCAGGGAAGCCTTGACTCAATCCTACAGTACCATATGCTGAGACGATTTCGAACAGGACGGAGAAGAGACTGAACGCGTACTCGTTTGTGTTCTCGAGCCGCGGGCCTTCAATGATGGCGATGAGGAAGAACCCCAAGAAGACGAACCACAAGTCGAATGAGAGTTGGCGGCGCAAATGGTGCGAGAGGTAGCTCGATTGCTCTTCGTCTTCGTCTTCTGAGGCCCAAACACCCAGGGACTTCTCTTCGTACACGTTGGATTGGCGGATGGACATAGCGATAGGGAAAATAGATATGTACATCATGATGAGGTAGCTGACTTGTACTGCGGGGTGCAGATCAGCAATGTTGACTACAGCGAAACCTGCAGTACGAGTTGAGGCAGCTTGGAAAAGACCGGCAAGAAAGCGATGACCACCTGACAGGGAAGTGACAGTCGGATCGTTGAGCTGCAGAGCGTTAGTCAGAAGTAATTTGGCCTGAATAACATCGTACTTACGTCGAGGATGATGAAGAAGATCAGATCTACACCGTTGAGAATAACAAGGATCCAGAACAGCCACCAGTTTGCCTTACTTGGGAAAAGTAAAGTGAAGCATCGACGTGGGTGATCTAGCAAAAAGCGAAGCTCTTCCCAAATGGCGCTGCTCTTGGGTACCATCTTGGAGTACATCCAGATGGTGAAGCGAAGCATACAGGGAAAACCAGTATTGCCGATGATAATAAGGAAGGTACCCAGTACGAGAGGCCATATAGCTAGCTGGAAAGAGACCATCGAGTCTGGAGTGAGTGTGAAACCTAGGTCGTTAAACAAGGAAGCTGAAGTGAAGAAACCCCACCAGGTCGGATCCACGCCAACTTCTCTCACTACGTTGCTGTAATGAGTATCATGATTGATCCAGGGTGCCAAACAAATAACACCGATAGTGTGCCAGCCCAGATAGAAGATAATGAGAATCATGGCGAGGAGTTTTAGAGCACGGTATTCGATACCGCCTAGTTCTTCTCTTTGCTCTTCGGTTAGATCCACGAAATTTGAGTTACGTCCGAGAGTTGGGGTCCAGCTGAGGTATGGCATCGGGTCTTCTTCCTCTTCGTCCTTATTCCTAGTAAGGAAACTGGTCAAGGTCCTTGACCGCGACCTGCTACGCATATGCATTCCTGGCGCAGGAACAGTTGCATCGCCTTCGTTCGTTCTGGTTCTGTCATAAACGGAGTGCCCAGTAGGACGTGCCTGTCGGTCCGGTACGTCGATGGTGATGTGGTTTCTCAGTGGCCGATCGTCGCCATTCAAAGCGTGAGGAACAGAGTTCGAGCGCTCGCGTTTTGGATGGGACTCATGTGACAGCCTACTCGCAACTCTATCCAGCTCCTCTCCTTTGATCGCCTCTGGGATGAGACCCTGGTCAAAATCGCGTGGGCCCGGAATGCGCAGCTTGTTCCTCGCTGTCGGGTTACGCTGTGCTTCTACAAAAGCAATGCTTCTCTCTTTGTTAGATTGCGGAAGGCGGCCACCAGGAGATTCTTCAAGCGACTCCCTAGGCTTCTTTTCGGTGGGCGTGCTAAGGTTGTCCGCCCAGACAATACCGGTAGGAGCGTTTTGTACGGGAGTCATGGGTCGAAACGGAGGCATCTCATCCTCGCTGGAACTGGATCTCCGAGGATTTATGCCATTGCCTGTCCAGTCCAGTCCGTCACTGAAGGCGAATTCGTTTGCGATTGTTCCACCGTGTGCATGGCCGCTCGAGCCACGCATGACCCGGATCTCGCGCGCACCAACCGCTTGCTCTTCCTGTCCAGCATTCCGATCTGTCACAGCCTTCATTTCACTCTTCCTCTTAGAAAGCGTGCGGGTCCGACCGCTCTTGTTTCCCCTCTCGAGTACGATATTCTGGAAGCGCTTTTCGAACCAATAAAGGCGCACGACGACGACGGAGCTATGGATGAAGATGGGCGTACATAAGCTGGTGATGATGTAAATGGTTATCTGAACAAGTTAGCACAACGATGGTTCATTACTCTTGGAACAGCACGTACCTGTTGATACAAGTCCAATAAATTGATATCAATTCTGCGCTCATGGTCAGTCGATATCCCGCAAGAGTTTTGGATTAAACGTACGTATTCAGACCACTTTGTGTTGCTGCGCCACTGGCGAAGAAGAGCGCATCGATGTACGGTATGCGACCACCACCATACATGATGACAGACCCAATCAGCGCCCACGAGATAATATATGCATCTACAGACAAATTAGTCCAAGTCCAGCGAATGTTCCGTTTCTTTGAACATACAGTGGAGTGTAATGAAGTTGGCGTGTGGTATGAGAGCCTTCAGACTGGATGGCGTGCGCTTCTTCAGCCATGCGAACATGACTAGCCAGGGACCGAACATGATTGCCGCTCGCGGCCGTCAAGGCGAAACCGAAGGAAGGTGTAGTCGCTCAGTGAAGGGTCCTAGTCTGGTGGATAGGAAAGATCAGCGGAGAGGTAGTGCGAAGGAAGAGCTGAAAGATCGAGTCTAATCGATCGCGCCCAAGTAGACAGGACGTCAACGGACCGAGCCGGTAGCGCGTCGCAGAAAAGCTCCGTCGTAGTGGTGCATGGTTAAGAGAGAAGAGAGTGAAGTAATGCCTCAAGTGGGCACTGTGAACTACGGGTCGTGTTGCGGCAAATAGTCGTATGGTCCATTGTGAAAGATTGCTGGCTTGTCGCGCTGCCAGGTGCGGCGATGACGCTACGCGAAAGGGGTGTCGAAGCCGCGGAACGCTGCGTGCCCAGCCTCCTATCGCAGCCGGAGTTTAACAGACCCCTGTACCAAACATGGAGAATCCAATCGACAAGGACGTCTCGCCCACACCTGCAAAAGCACTACACCGCTTCCAACAGAGTTCACATGTACGACATGCTCTCGAGTCTTGGTATGCATGCACGTTGGACATGTGTTTGTTCTCCACCTGTATGCTTCCGCTCCGCCCCGCTATCCATTGCCCCGCGTCGCGTGAGCAGTCCCAAGGGAGATTTTGATAAACAATGCCCCTCCACACTTCAATACATATATTGGGTGTGGATAACTGCAACCCTTGCTAGAATATACTTGCCAGCGCATCATATCGTCACGTTGGTTGGCTTGGTCCGTCGGCCGAGCTGACATCTCACCACTTGAACACAACAAATTCCAAGGAACGCCGACATTGTTCCAGGATAACGCGGTACTAGCGATTGCGCGCTTATGTTTCAGAAACAAGATGCTTGTTTCGGCATTGATAGGATGCGCCTGATTGCCGGGAAGGAGAACAAGGCTAGTCCACGTTCTACGGGCTTACGGGCTTACGCAGTTCATTTCTTCTGCCATCACTGCGTCGCGATACTCGGCTACGCCACAGCTTGGCATTCCAGTCAGCCACCTGGGCTTGCAACGACCAACGGCACACGTCGTGACACATGCCAGTCAATTCGTACTCTACTGGCCGCAGGGTTGCAATGCTGGCCTGATTTACCACCCCAAGCTTGCTTTTGTTCGGCAAATCGGGCATCCATTCCTATCAAAGACGCGCGTATGTATTCTGGGTCCGGACATTCGGCAATGGTAAGGAGATTCGGACCGCACAAAAGTTTCGACCAGGCCAACAGACTCTGATATTCACATCTTAAAATACATTTGGGTCCCACAGACGTAGGCGACCAGTTCCTTCCATTCTTCTCTACTGCGTCCATTCGTCTTCGCCAATGCAGTATATGCGCATAAAATCAAACCAAACATAAAGGAATAGATCAATGCAAACTTGGAAGTCGTTGCTTCTCTTCCTCGTTCGGTTCCTTCGTCACCCTGTAGAAAAAAGGTGGCTAGTCAGTACCATTCGGCGCAGTAGACAGAGTGGGAGTGTTTGCGCCTGAATTAGGCTTACTCTTCGTCTTCAAGGTAAGCGGGAAGGTAAAGTCATCGGCCTCTTCTTCTTCCCTGTGTAATTGTTAGCATGTAATCGAGCATTGTAGTCCAGCTGTCACTTACGGAAGCTTCCACGCGATGTAATCCTCAGTGCTCAGTCCTTCGCGACCTTCTTGAAGCGAAGCAAAGTCACCAGGCGTCATCATACCCGAACGGTCCCGGGGAGACCCAGGCTCAGACAACGGTCGCGAGATCTTGACATCTTGCGAGCTGAAGAAGTCTGGCTCATCATCGTCTTCATATGCCGCAGGGTATGCTCGTCGAAGAGCTAATTGTCGAGCCTTGACGTACTCCAAGCCCATGCGCTTCCAGTCGAGCAGATCACTGAGACGCTCGGTCCGGTTACGCTGGTTGATACGTTGACGCTTGCTCTTCTTTGTAAACTCGAACATGTAGTCGACAAGCTGGTTGACTGAGTCGTCGACACCCTTCATCCTTCGGTCTACGATGTAGATACCGTAATCCTGGGCGTTCTCGATCAATTCCTCCATATAACAACCGAAACCAGACAAGTTGGTTGTGATGCTAGGAACACCCATAACAGTGCACTCAGCTGGAGTGTAGCCCCAAGGCTCGTAGTACGATGAGAAGACACCAAGATGGGTTCCACGGACGAAGTCATCATAATCCAATGGCAGGACGGGATTTGCGGAGTTCAAGAATTCGGGATGGAAGACAACCTTGACGCGATCCGATGGGTGGTTGAAGAGTTGACAGCGACGGAGCTGGTTCAACACGGGGTCTTCAGCATCGTTGACCATGTTATGGGTAACAATAGGCGGGAGGTTGTGGCGTTTCATGGCGAACAATCTTCGGCGGAGCAAGATCTTGTCAGCAGGCGTAATCAAGTCCTTGTCCTCTGGAAGCTCGGAGCCCTCTGTCCATGTCAACGAACGCTCAAACAGCTTCTTGGCTACATTTTCGGCAATGTTGTTTACACTGTCGTGGAGCGCCTTGATGACAGCCTGTCCCTTCAATGAGTCGACCGAAAGAGAGGTGGTCTGTGCCGGCAGAATGATGAAAGCAACAACTGTCATATTCGAGTTCTCGCTCTTCATCTTGTGGTTCAATCGCGCTAACGATTCGATGAACATGTCGACACCCTTGTTCCGGTACTCGTAGCGACCAGCGGTGAAGAAGTAAAGAGTGTTCTCTGGATCAAAGTCGTTGTGGCCGTAGAAATGACCGCGCACGAAATCGTTGATCTTGACCTTGGCTTGCTGATGCAAGTTTTGGAACTCATGGGTAGCGGAGAACTTCTTGACGTTCAGACCATTGGGCAGAACACCATCCGGCTTTCGCTTCAAAAGATGCTCGCTCTCGTATGCGGTGATGTGTGAAACCGTCGTGAACACGTCAGCCGCGTGTGTAGCGGCACGCTCGATGCAGTAACGGTGGTAAATACCACGCTTTCCTGCCTCAGCGTCGACGTCGAAATATTGAAGATTGTTGTAGAAATCGACTGAGCCGGCGCAGAGGTAGCGACCAAGGAGCGTAGCGTGGGTAGTGAAGATGGTAGTAACATCGATTCGGCGCTTCTTGCACAGAGGAACTGCGACACCGGCCAGCCACTCGTGGAACTGGACAATGACGGCTCGCTTCTTCTCATGGTAGACATACTGTAAAAGGGTCAGCGACAGCCACCGGATTTGGTACACGTTCTCAACTTACCTCGCCCAAGAACCATGCGATGAGGTAACCAAAGACAATGGCCTCATTGGTCTCAGAATCGCCGGGAGGCGAGGGAATGCCGGTGGAAGACCAAAGGTCGCCCTTCCACTCGTCAAGCCACCTGTAACCAGTACCGGTGTCGAAAAGGAGCACACGTGGGGCACCGTCGATCAACCAACGTCCATACAGCGTCTTGATGCCACGGTCGTCCATGGACTTGATGGTCGCAACCAAGGCTGGATCTTTGGGCTCGATTGGCTCAACTTCGACAGCCGCCTATGTTTGGATTAGCATTTGATCCGAAAATGCAGCTGGCTGCGCGTACCGAAGCCCTGTTCCATGGACCCAAGAGAGTGTATGCGGCGCCATACTCGGCCGTAGTGACTTGCGCTTTGGACTTGAGGACTGAGTAGATACCGCCGACTACGATTTGTTAGTACTTGCGAGTGGCATGGAGACGAGACGAAGGCTACCTCTGTTTGCGACTTCAGTCGCAACCTCGAACAGGACGTGGTTCTGCACGTCTCTCGCGCCGGTCTCAGCCATTGTGTATGGGTGGTGTGAAGAAATGGTGGGAAGGCGCAATGGCAGGATCGGAGCTCTTTCTAAGGATTAGAGAGCTTGGAAAGTCGAGGGAGCGTGGGAGCTTGAGCTCGGTGCTTGGTTGAGCTACTGCAGGTTGCCGCGCTAGACAAGCGGTTCGATTACTCTCGGGTTGAGTACAATTTGTTGGCCGCGGAAAACGTGTGATGGGACTGCGGAAGGAACTGGACCTGTTATAGCAGAGCAGCCGCACGCAAACTCTGTCGAATAGTTGAGAAAGGATGTTTTGCAGCAGCCCTGGGAGTGAGAAATGCTGGGCCGCTTTTGTTTGGCGCACGAGCGTTGCTAGCCGTGGAGGTTGGGATTCCTCTTTGGGAATCGGATGGATTGACGTTGTGACGTAGGCGCTCGGCTTCTACTACCCATTCACGATTAAACCTCGAATTAGCCTGGCAGCCTTTGAGCGCCACATTCAAGCTGCAACATATTGCACCGAAGCACTTCTCGCACTTCTCACACTTGCAGCACCTCGAGGCAAATTCTCTCCCCACGACCAGCGCCCAATTCTGAGGCTGGAGCGCAACGGGCGAGGCCAAGGCCGCGAGTCAACAACTCAACAGTTTCCCGTGGAAATGAGAAGCGGAGCATCGACCGATCCCGCCCGCCGTTGAGCTGCTCGCTTATTCCTGTCTGCTCATCTATCTTCGTCCGCTTTCAGACGCAACAGAAACATCAAAAGGGTCACGCCGAAGGGAGAGCTTCACGCATTGTACCACTGCCGAGGCGCTGCATCACGTCCGCTTGCTGCACCATTCCGTCATAAGACCGACAATTGCGGGGTCCCGCGAACGGTGGGAGAAGTAGACAGCACGCCAGCTCTCTCCGCAGCCAGATTAGTGGGTCGTGAGTGGAGGCGGAGAGATGCACGTGAGGGCCCACAACAGCCACTGCCGCTCCATGTGACATGCCTGTGATGTTATCGGAGGGTTCATCGGAAGGACAGGATTGCCTGCCGGGACGTGTCTTGCAATATCTCGGTCAATAGTTTCTAGCAGCGTTGTTTGCTCGTATACCCAGTATCGAGTTTGCGTTGCTATGTGGGTGCATGACTCGTATACAGTCGGTGCGTCGTCGTTGCAAGCACCACACCTACCAAGTGCACTGGCACGGCAACGCCTGGACAAAGATAGCATTCGACTAGGGAGAGCTTCGAATACAAGAGACGAAAAATTCCGAATATTTCATTTTTGCAAACACAACGGCATAACGCTGCTCAGACCTCTATAAATGTAATTCTACGATTCGTTGGCATTTGCTTTTGTATCATATACTGAGTCCAGCAGGAGCATTGAGCCACTCTGCCCCCCACGACTCCCCACCTAATTCTATTACATCAGATTCCCAAGGCCGTAAACGTGTAACCAAAGCAAAGGATATCAAGCTGAACGTGCGACGCCAGACAAACAAAAGCAGGAAACAAACAAAACCCAAGCAAAAGACGAAGTAGTCCACGCAACTACTTACCACTCCTGTCAATAACCGGAGCTGCGTTCGGCAGCGCACTCAGCAAACTGCCTTGTGCGAACTCATTGTTTAACGAGAGGTTGACCATTGGGCCTCTGGCTCTACTGCCATCCATGACACCCCTACCAACCATGTCTTTTCCTTGTGAGTAGCCAGCCTGAGAAAGTAACCCACCTCCTGTAAACGCCTTGCTGTCATCCTCGGGAGCGCCAGAATGGTTGTTATGTGTATACGCTGCCAAAGGCTCACCACGACCCTTGAGCGAACGCGTACGCTCGTGTCCACCAGCACCATAGGTACCATGTGCCGCGCGCGACGTACCTGGACGACCAGCGCGCCAGTCGGTTGATGACGGAATCATGATTGCCTCCTCGATTGAAGTTGCACTTTCAACCAAAGGTCCTGCGCCAGCTCCTGGGTTGAAGCCTTTGCCCTTGTTGAGATGCTGTGGCGGCGGTTTGTACTGAGGTGTGAGATCAACCAAAGGTTCGGGCATGCCAGGAACACGTCTCGAGGCACTGCGTTGAAGATCACTAGATGTTCTTCGGTGGTGGTTGCTGCGGACAGAAGTGTTGCGCTTAAGGCTGGAGTCGTTTGACGACACTTGGGCTGCACGACCCATGCTGTTCAGTAGAGACGGTCCCTCGGTGAACGGACCCGTTTGTTCACGTGCCTGTAAAGCGGCCTGGCGCTGCGTGTAACTACGCCCCAGGAGACCGCTGGAGGCAAACGCTTCCTCGCCCTGCTGATCGATACTCCGACGACGAGCAGTGGGCGGTGGCGGGATCTCTGCGGCTAGACCGCTCTTGTTGAAAGCAGCTGGGGGCGGTCGCTTTACTCGTACTGACTTCATTTTCGCATGCATTGCGCTACTATCAAGCTTCGAGAGAGGCTTATCGTCTGGAAACTCTCCCGGCTTGTGAACCTCGATCTCATCCAGTGTCTTGTTGAAACTGTCCATGTCGAGTAATGACGAGAAGGCACCAAGCTGATAATGCGATCCAACTGATTCGCCTCTTGTATGGGAGGACGCCTGCGCAGCCCCAGCGTTCCCTGATATATTACGTTGTGCTGTGGCTTTCTTCTTCAGCCCCTCGCCCTTCTGGTGTTTGAGATACCAACTGCGCCAGGTCTGCAGCGCTGTGTAGAACGTATTCGCTGTGTTTCGGTCATTGGTACAAAAGAAGTGGACATATTGAGACTCATCCGCGAAGATGTTGGACTTCTGCATACTTTTGACAGCGTAGCAAATCTTCTTTGGGGGCTTTACGCGCGCCAGCTTCGACTGCGTCACGGAGTAGATATCGTAGTCTGTGAGAGTGCAGATATTCTCTTGGTCCTTCTCCTTTGTCTTCTCGTTCTTGGCCATGATTAGCTGTCCATCAGGACGAAGAACGAGATATCGTTTACTCCATTTGCCAGGTCGCGATGAGTATTGGATGAAGCACGAAACGCCCTCTGGTCTTGTGTCTGGAACTTTGTACGAGAGCAGGCTGTCCTGGTTGATCCCGTCCACATCAGAGTCAATGATGGTAAGCTCATTTTGATTGTCGTGATCCCACGAGTTCATAACGTCTCTCACATACTCGTAGTTGCGAAGTGGACGTGTGATGCTAACTTTGGTGAAAAACTCGCAGATGACGGCAGTACGCACGTCGATGGGGTCTGTGAGGACAGTGGCGGCTGACTTGATGAGATCGAGAGGTGTGGTGGTTGGAGTCACAGGCAATAGGATGCGCTTCTCATTGCACACAACTTTGACGCGCTATGACACATGTTAGTATTTCTGTCATGGTTTACATACAATGTACATACCCTGTCGCCAGCATTTACAGCAGATGTGGGAGCATCGATGCCCAGAACAACGCCACCTCCACCAGGTCTAATAGTCTCCTCTTCCTGGCTATCGAAGTTGAGACTCAACTGCGGCGGAGCTGATTGTTGTGAAGGAGCGTCTAAACCTAGAGCCTCGTCTTTTCTCCTTTTGAACATACCAAATCCTATCTCCTGCTGCCGGGGTGGTGAGACGGGGGGCGACGAAGAAGGCGCTTTTCGGGCCTTCTGCTCAAGCTTTGCGAGTGTCGCCTGTCGCTCCTTCTCTTCGGCTTTCGCTCTGCGGACACCCTCCTCCCTTTGTTGGAGCACTTTCTGAGTCTCAGCCTTCTGCAACCGCCTGCCACGTTCCTGCTCGGCCTTTTGTTCTTCCCTCTGCCGACGCAGCGCCTCAGCCTCTTCGATTGCCCTCTGGGCCTCTGCCCGCGCAGCTTCTTCCTCTTCCTGGCGCACTTTCTCAATTCTGTCCAGTTCGGCTTGCTTGGCCTGCCTCTGCATGCGCGCCTCCGCTTCGTACTTTTCCTTCAACTGCCGCTGTCTCTCCTTCTCTCTCTGCAGGACATCTCTCGCGCTGTCATCACCTCTCAGCGACTGCTGTCGTGGCGCATTGGAGACAGGGGGTGAGGCTTCTGCGCGAGGCCTGGCAGTTCTTGGCCGACGCTGGCCGGTGTTTGCGGTATGCGTTGATTGATACGGGGAGCTCAAAGCACGGTTCCGGGACGTGGACGGCGGTTGCTGCGCGGGAAGCGGAGGCGGAGCATTAGGAATGGTGTTGGAGCGTAGTGGCGGGGGATTCGGGCTGGTCGCGTGTGAAGTCGTCGGCCTGCGGTGGTAGCGACTCATGCTTCTGCTAATGGGCGCATCATTCTGAGGCTGGGATTCGGGCACGGCAGGCATGGGAGGCATTGGAGGCATGGCTGGAACGGCTGGCACTGCTGGTGAAGCGTGGTCCTGGTGGTATTGACCCGGCTGCCGTGTCTGCTCTTCTTGCGCGCGCCTCACACTCCTATAGCGGGACATTTTGGGCGTTGGCGCCGCCGCCGAGGGTACTGTTTCGGTGGCCATGTTGTGGTTGAATGCTGTGCGACACGATTCTGCGTGCCTGCGCGACGACAAGTAAGGGACATAGGAGACAGACCCATGGAATGCACACAGCAAGTGAGGGGAGCGGCGCAGGGTAGACGGAAGAAGCAATAGGGAGTGGCAGGTGCACACGGATACTCGGCTGTTAATTCAAGAGATTCAAGTACCTAACTCCCACCAATACGTCAAGCAGCCAACCCAGACCTGCATCGTCTGTCGAGGTGGTCCTCTCAGGGGAACAAGGTTGGCTGCACTCTTACTTGATCCAGGAAGGCCGGCCGTTGTGGCGCTAACAATAGCCTACCGCAGCTGCGGTGCGTGTTTGGGTGCGCCATTAGCTGCCATTAGCTGCCCTTAGCTGTTTCGGCCAAATCTTGCCGCAAGCCCGCCGAAGGTACCGCCTTGTATGAAATATTATTACCCTTTGGCCATGCTTCAGCCACAGCAGGGTTTTTCTTCCACTATCCTTGCACTACGTATATACTACCGACAAAAGTATTGCTTCACAATTTTACTCGTGACAAGTACTTCAACTCGCTACGTGGGGAATGTCTAAATGCTATCAAACAAATGCAATGCCAATAGAGACTCCACCGATGAGAATCTAGGCGCCCAGAGAACGAGCTGACTGTGCACATGTCACGAGGAAGTACAGAAAAGGTCTGTGAAAGAGCTGGGAAAGCGAGGAGTTTGATAGGTGGAAACGACAAGAATATTATGTATTTGCGCCACAAGGGAGACATTCGCGTCTACAGCCTCTTCGCGTCAGCAAGGTTATTTCACCCAAAGTCGGTGACTGAGTGCTGTTTGCACAAGAGCTTCCTTCACCGTGGGTGATGTCTACCAAAGTAAAATGCATCGTTCTCTCGTCATTTGCCTCTCTCATGTTTTGTCTTGATCACCTCGCATTGGACTGATACTCCAGCAATGGCTCGGAAAACTCACCTCCTCGTTGCGGCAGTCTCCATCTTCACACTTGCATATCTCTTCTACCACCACTCTCATAGCAGCACTTTCAACACATTGTCACACGAGCAGATTTCGTTGATCCTTCCGCAAGCTAACTCCACTCTTGGTTTCGGTGCTATACTTGCACTGTCCCACCCAATCTCTCCACGTCGACAAAGCCTGCTCTGGGCCGCCAATCTAACAGATATCGAAATCGTAATCCCAGAACAAAAGGAATGGGAGGTAGATGATGTCGAGAGACTCAAGGTGAAGGAGAGCAGTCTAAGCCCAGGTAGTGCGAAAGCATGGTTAGGACATTTGGAAGTCTTGAAATGGTATGTAAACAACTTGAACTGATGAGACTGGAAAGAGAGAGTAGAAAGTGGACAGGAAAACTAACCGAACAATAGGTTCCTGGCCTCAGACTACGAAACAGCCTTGATAATCGAAGATGACACAGACTTCGACATTTCAATCCGAAGTTCTCAAATACCCCTCCTTGCATCCGCCTTCCGCTCCTTGCTCAACAGCACTGGTGACGACCATACATCATACTGGGCCCCGACAACCAGCTGGGATCTCCTCTACCCCGGCCACTGCGATGATCTAATCTCTACCGCCTATCTCTCCCAACCCCTCTTTCTATACAACGACCCCACAACTCCATTCCACACAGCTCTCCACCCTGACACAGCCCTGTTTCTCTCATCCCTTTCCGTACCCTCGGAAACTCGTATTCTCCACAGAAGCTACTGGCCTTTTTGTACATTCGCCTACACTGTAAATCGCCGATCTGCCGCCCTCATCCTATCTACATTCTCCAAGGAACCAGCAGGAGGCATTTCAGCTTATGATGTTGCGCTGCTAAGTGCATGCAGGGATCGTGATTGGAAATGCTGGAGTGTGGCACCAGAGTTATTTCATCATGGGCTCGGGGATTCGGAGATCTTCAAGGCAGACAAAGCGGAGGAGGGTAAGGGTGAGGAGAGGGAAAGCAAAGGGAGTGCGAGGGGGACGTGGAACCTGGGGTGCGGGGCGAGGCACGGACAGCTTTGGGTTGATGAAGCGAATGGAGAGATGAGGAAACTGATCAAGGACCTGGTTCGGAGTGCTGTTCGGAGGGGACAGTGTCCGATTGACAAGGTTATGGAGGTAGAGACTTGGAAAGGATGTGAACATGACGAGTGTGGAGCGCAGTCATGATATTTCATCATGACGCTGACACCTATAGGCCTAATGAGAGGGTGCTCCTAAATTAAAACACTACAGCAAAACATAGCATGATGGCACTTGATGGTGTGAAGGTGACTTGGTATGTCAATGGCGACGAGATCCCAGATCCCACCGTATTCTGAGGCTTTTGTAATTCTTTCTTATTTACAGATAGCCAACCAACCCCAATCCCACACCAGAGGTATCTTCGTTCGTGCCAGCCATCTCAATGATTCATCCCAGTATCGCACCGTACCCCTGTAAAGATAAAAAATAACTCCTCTTGGTATCTTACAAAGATCGCCTATGAAGGTGAAGAAGAATGGACGGGTATCCAAAAAGTGAGAAGTGAAAAAAAAGAAATGGAAAACGAGATGAATGCATATGGCGACTGCACAAATCATCGCCAGAGGTCAGCCCTCGAAGCTCGCTTCTCGCGACCCGCGTGGCTCATCCAGCTGGCACGTGGACTTGGCTCCCTGCCACCAAGCGAGTTGGAGTAGCCGTGGCCGAAGCCTCCACTAGGCGCCATGTGCCCAGCACTCCTAGGTCTCCCATCGTTGTCTGCAGGTACAGCTAGGAAACCACCGAAGCCGTTTGGTACCACGATACTCTTACGAGCGTCTCCACCCCATTGGGGTCCCAGACCCTTGTGTGCTGAATAGCTGCTCAGTGGTCGTCCTACTGACACTGATGCTCGGCGTCCCTGTGCCTCGGGGGGTATAATAGATGTGAAGATCCAGTCCAACTCGTCCAGACCCTTGGAGTAAACCTCCAATGGCTGATTGAACATGGGCGGCGGTGCTTCACTAAATGGCCGGATCGGTGGCGCAAGCGTGAGGACTTCTGGAAATTCGGGGTCGCGCACATAGAGCTGTCGCAAAGCAGGGAGGCAGTTGGCGATGAGCGAGTTCGCAAGGTACTGGTAGCATGATGCACTTGGCGGGTATACTTGGTTCGCGGAGCTAGAGGTGACTTCAAAATTGAGTTTGTGCAGCGTGTACGATGTCATGGGTGGTATCGGATCCAAAGGAAGGGACGCGGAAACTGTGGCGAAGTATTCTAGGGTCTTGAGGTTGACTGCCGCTTGCAGAATAATGTGAAGGGAAGGTACAGGAATACTGCCGCAATCTTTCAATATCAATGTTCGCAGTCTACCACTGCACATTGGGTTGTAGAGGTACTGAGCGAGCCCGTTTGCAGTCACACCATGACACTTGGTCAGCGTGAGAGATTCCAGCGCGGGAAAGTTGGGGATTCCCGGTGCATCGTGGAAGGTGGAGTCATTCAGCCAGGATACGCCAGTAATGGTAAGCTCCTTAAGCCGTGGCAGCATGCCGAAGACCTGCCTCAGGATGCTGGGCTCTATCTGTATTTTGTTGAGCTCAATCGAGGTGAGCTCTTGCCAGTAGCCCTGGAGCAGCGTCTCTAGCGATTGCTCTCCGCCCTCGTTGTATTTCATCTTCCGGATATGAGGGCAGCGCGCCTGCAGCTCCTGACGCAGCAGCTGACATGACTGGTCGCCATTGTAGAAGCCGTCTGGAAGGTCAATGAACTCGATGTTTGGACAGCCCGATACCGTTCTTGCCAGATCAGCTTTGCATGCCTCGCGGGTCATGTATGGTAGCTTGATGAAGCGTACGCGTTGGCCGAGGTACTGGTTTCCACGCACGCTCTGGCCGAGCTGCTGCAGCCGGAGCGTGGGCGCGTCAATGTCATCGCCGTTTCGCGACTTGCGCCGGCGCTGGTCGGCGTAGACCTCTTCGAGCTCGCAGTAGTGGACCGCGTCGATGCGGATGCTGTTGTATCTGGAGCGAATTAGCTACATAAAAATGCATATGGGGTAGCTAGACTCACAGCAACCCTGCAGCAACGCCATACCATTGTCGCTTGGTCAGGGCACAATGTGCAAGGTCCCGCATATCACAGCTCATGCAGCCATCATGACCGCTGTCCTCGCTGCCTTCGAGAGATTCGTCGGCTGAATGCGGACACACTTGTTCGAATATGCGGCGGAGGACCTTATCGGGCAGTCGCTGCGTCTGGTCGGGGCCGTGGTAGTCGTATACTGCGGGGGCGTAGAGGTCGTTGCGCGGGCGCGATTCGCTCTTCTTGGGGCTTTTGTGACGCCTGAAGCGTTTGAAGAAACCCATGATTCCTCGCGATGAACTGGAAAGGTATTAGGAGAGAAATCCCATGAACGCGTCGAGCATGTGCTTATGAGAGGGTGCAGTGCAGTCCGTTGTTTCAAAAGTGGGTAGGTGAATACTAACTCGCGTCCGTTAAGCGTAGCCTGCGGGGAAGATGTGAATCCCGGCATGCTTGGTAACCAAGCTCAGCCAGACCCAGGTAAATGCCAAAGCCGCAATGCAAGGTCCCCGGTACTGGGAAGCGGGTACGTGTCAAGGCTGGAGAGCATAAATTGCAAATTGCAGGCAGACTGCCGGGCACTGTACTTTCAGTCCAGGTGCTCGAGCTGTTTGGGACAGAGCAGAGGGAGCGGCGCGTTTAAGGGGTCAGGGCAAAAGCAGTTAGGGATCTCCCGCACAAACAAGTGCAACGGCGAGCTGACAGGGCTAGTGCTGGTTGTACGTGTCAGCAAGGCTTGAAGATCGTCCTGTGCCCATTTCACTGTTCGGCGGTACGAGACGGCGATAGGCTGCAGTCACGTGGTGCGGAAGATCGCCAGGGGTACCCGGACAGCCAGTGAAAGCGGGATGGGCGGAAGGGGCCACTGCGATGTGCAACATGTCTTGTACTGGTATTCTAAGCACAGATTTGGGGTACGCTGCAAGGGGCGACTAGTAACGACATGGCTATAG